CTCTCTCTCTCTCTCTCTCTCTCTCTCTCTCTCTCTCTCTCTCTCTCTCTCGTATTTACACTCCTACCAATTTAGGAAAAATTACAATCAATTTTTAAATCGAAACGAAACGAGATATGAAATTCGTCGCCCGTGTTGGCGATCTCAATACAAAAGACAAAACTCCACGTATGATTCCACGGTCGCTCGATTCGATCCCGATCCGACAAGATCATCGCAAATGGACGGAGGCCGATTTCGTTTCACGGCCGACACCATTCGACAAATGGTGATGATGAAGCTACCGCGAGTCCTCCAAGAGAGTCGATTAACCACAGCCGCAGGATTCATCCTCCTGTTCCCTGTACACACTGTCCGTCCAGCGACACATTGCGGTTCGCCACGGGGTGTCCCGTTGTCCCGACGGCTAATGACGGCCAACGACCACTCCTCCTCCTCCTCCTCCTCCTTTCCTGCGGGCATCTGGGAGGCATCGTCGTGTCGTCACGTGCTAAGAAACCAACTCTCTTCTCCTCGTTTCCCCAACCGATTTCGGCAAACCGATTCAAATCGTCCTCCAAGTATTGGAAAAAGGGGAAATGGCCACATGCGGGTCCCTTCGACCAAGGAAAACCCTTTCAACGAGGGTTATGAATTATATATATGTATATATATATATATATGTTGGAGGGACGAGAGCGTTTAAAAGAAAAGGAATTCGAGTTTGTGTCTTCGAGCTGTGTGCGCTGTCCATTCGTTATGGTTTACTTAAGCCCAGTCGATTAGCTTTTTGATGGGAGGCCGAGGCGAGCATTTGCCAGCCATGCTTTGATGATAATAACGACTGTGTGGTCACGGTGCGCTGGATTTCCTCCAGAAAGAAGCCTCGTTTTTGCCCAGAATCGCTCTTCCCAGAGCAAAGGATCTCTCTTTCTCTGTGTGTGTGTTTGTGTGTGTGTACAGAGAGCGGGGTTTTAGAGATGGCCAACGCAACTTCCTGCCGTTGACCCGACCCTCTTCTTCGCAACCGTTCCGTTGTGCAACCGGAACCGGAGTGGTAATAAATCCGCGTATCGCGTTACCAAGGCATCGGTAATTGAAACGAACGTGTCGTCACCCTCCTCGTCCTTGTTCGCAAATTTCTTCCAACGATATTATTATTGGATAAACTTTATTAAAAAAAGAAAGCGATACGATACGTAAGTCGGGTGATCGCGTTACCAAGGCAACGAACGTGCGTCGTCATCTTTCTCGTCCTTGTTCGCACATTTCTTCCAACGATATTATTATTGGATAAACTTTACTAAAAAAAGAAAGCAATACTATACGTAAGTCCGCTTCTCGCGTTACCACGGCAACGAACGTGTGTCGTCATCTTTCTCGGCCTTGTTCGCAAATTTCTTCCAACGATATTAGTATTGGATAAACTTTATTAAAAAAAGAAAGCGATACGATACGTAAGTCGGGTGATCGCGTTACCAAGGCAACGAACGTGCGTCGTCATCTTTCTCGTCCTTGTTCGCACATTTCTTCCAACGATATTATTATTGGATAAACTTTACTAAAAAAAGAAAGCAATACTATACGTAAGTCCGCTTCTCGCGTTACCACGGCAACGAACGTGTGTCGTCATCTTTCTCGGCCTTGTTCGCAAATTTCTTCCAACGATATTATTATTGGATAAACTTTATTTAAAAAAGGAAAGGAATACTATATGTATATAAATCTGCTAATTGAAACGAACGGTCTCGTCATCCTTCTCGTCTTTGTTCACAAATTTCACCCAACGATATTATTATTGGATAAACGTTATTAAAAAAAGAAAGCAATACCATACGTATACAAGTCCGCTTATCTCGTTACCAAGGCAACGGTAATTGAAACGAATGGTATCGTCCGCAAATTTCGTCGAGAATAATTTCATCCAACGATATTATTATTATTGGATAAACGTTATTAAAAAAAGAAAGGAAAAGGGATGGATGGAGAGAGGGAGAATCGCGATCCATTTTCCGCCAACTTGTTGGCTATTGTCGTCCCATCGAGGGCCGATAAATCTGGCCGGTTGGAGGAGGCTGGGTCGCGGTCGTTGGACGTGGCAAGGTCGTGAAAGGGTGGGCAAGTTTATAGGCATCTCCATTCATCGTTTTCGAAACGGTTGGCCCCGATCCGCGTGGAAAGTCCGCGGACTCGGTCACAGTGGGACACGGTTGGAAGATTAAGCGTTCGGCGGGAAGGTTAACCAGCCGTTGGCCGGGCGGTAACACGCGGAATCATCTGTAAATTGAGCCCGGGGCCAACGGGAGAGAGGCGTCGGGACGGCCATAACTCACGTGACTCCGTCCTCTCTCTATCTATCCATCTATCTCTTTCTCTCGCGCTCTTCGCATCCCTTTGGCCGCGTTTT